ACATCAACAATTATTAATAAATGATTGCCCTAAAAGGTACATTACTTTCCTCCACAGTCCACTAGCCAGAACTTGTCACATGGCATTTCCCAACCCCAGAGAGAATCCCACCAGAAGGACAGAAGAACTTGTAATTGGTGAGAACCAGTATTGTCTACCACACAAATCTAGATCTTTTTTATGAACCCTAGATTTGTGCATTCAACTGCTCTCTCAAAATCTCTACCTGAATGGTTTCACAAGTACCCCAAACTAATATGCCCAAAATTAAACTCACTTTGGTAAGAGATTTTTGCTTTAGGGTGCAAGCACTTGCACGCGAGAGAGAAACAAAGAGACAGACACAGTGAGAGGGAAAGTGAGAAATCACCCCCGGGGGAATGGTCATACTTCAATCCCTTCTCCATTCTCCTGCTGGGATCTTGGGCATGCATGCACATGTGTCCAGCTTGATTTTCAAGTCTCTAGGTCCGGGACTCAAATCATAGCCGACCCTGTGGGAATACAACGATGTACCTTCTACATCATCTACTGGCCCCTAAACTCATTTTTTAATCCTCAGTCCTGAAACAACTTCTATATTCTGAACATTAATCAATGGATACAATACAGCAAGCTGGTGGTTTATCTTGAACTCCTTTCTCACTCTTAAACTTCCTCTAGCTCCCAATATATGACTAAATTATTCACCAACCTGCTCAACCTCTTCTCTGCCAGGCATTACTTCTGTTTAGTTCATGCTTGTTTCTCATGTGGGACTCTGCAATATTAAGGGACTGCTCACCCACTGCCTGGCTCCTCACCAGTGCCCCTTGTACTTTGTTGCCAAATATGGTCCTGTTACCCTTCAGAAGTTTGTCCATTGCCTGTAAGTTAAAGTTCATTTAGGTTCACCTTTATCTGTCTCATCCTTCCTCTTCAGCCTTTCCTCTTCCATTTCCCACCCCCGTAACCCGTCCTCGTTCCCCAAGCATCAGCAATGGTGAAATACTTGCATTTCCCTAAACATGACAACGCTGTTCCTCTGCCTAAAATACATTTCCTCTCTCTGTCTACCTAGAAAACATAATTCATCTTTTAAGACACAGCACAAATATCTCTGAGAACATTTTTTTACTTTCTTTTTAAAAACATATAATGTTTTTAAGTGTATTTATTTATTCCGTCCATGAGTGAGACAGAGAGAAACAGAAACAGAGTGACAGCACCCCTGAGAAGGTCTTAACACCACAACCAACCTTCAGCCTCAGCTAGCGCCAGATCATGAACATATGTGTGTGTGGCATACTGGGTGGTCCCCAGACACCAACCTAGAAACTTCCTGTGTGGGCAAGCCTTACAGAGGCTCACATTTTACCACTACACCACCATCTGGCCCTGACATTCTTCTTGACACCCACCCTCCCTCCTTTGTGTGTAACCTGATCCTTTCTCTTTTAGGTCCTACTCCATTTTGTGCACTGACTAACATAGCATCTACAACATTTCATGGTGCTTATTTATGCATCTGGACAGTCTGGAGCACAGTATTACAGATAAATGAAGATATCTTCTCTCTACAAAACTAAAAATCCCTCCAGTCAAGGACTGCATCTTTTTTTTTTTTTTGGAGAAATTTTCACTGTAGGGCGCGTGCGCTCACCAGACAGACAGAGAGAGACATAGAGACAGAAAGCGAGAAATCACCCCCCAGGGGGGATGGTCACGCCGCAATCCCTTCTCCTCCATTCTCCTCTCGGGATCTTGGGCATGCACGCACACGCGCCCGGCGTGAGTTTTAAGCCACCGGGTCCGGGACACAAACCGCGGTCAACTACGTGGGAGTCCTGCGACATAGCCATTATGCTAACTGCTGGTTCCCAAGGACTGCATCTTATTCATCATTGTATCTCCAGAATTTAGCAGTATTTGGGTCATAGTAGGTACTCAATCAATGTCTGATCATCCTCACTCTAAGCCTTGAACTACCATTCTTATCTAGCTCCTCCTCCTTCTTGCCCTTTAGTGATACCTTTGATCGTTGTCTTGGACTGTTTATCCTCCCTTGTTTTTGCTACCATGTTCCTAAATCTCTCTCAAATACATTTACATCACTTCATCTTTCTACTGCTACTATTCTAGTTCAAATTTCTGTCATCTCTCAACTGGATCACCACAGTCATCTCTCACTTGGTCTAGTCACATCTATTTTCTGCCTTCTAATCTGTTCTCTCTACCATAGTATTGATTATTTCAGAGTGTATATCTGATCATGTCATGTTTGTTTAAATACTGTTAGCGTAGGCAAATATTTATCTTAAAGATAAAAGTTCTAAGGAACTGCCTCTTCAACCTCATCTCATGCCTACCATGTTCTACCACACCCTCACCACCACCACACTATCATCTCACATACTTCCTTGCTCTTTCAACTACTGTCACAATATCTTTTGTAGGCTTGTTCATTTGGTCCTTGGACTTCCTACCCTCCTCTCTGGAACAGGACTGGTGGACATTCTTTTCCCTCTAAACTTTCCCTCTCTCTTATTTTAGGTGTACTCCAACTCATACTTGAGATTTCAGCTTAGTGTTTTCCTCCAGGAAGCCTTCCTCTCCCCCTGTATCATAGGCATCCATGGCGTGGGGTTCTGCCTTTTCACAGCACATGTGATTGTTGCAATTTTCCATCTCTGTGAGTGGTAATGACCTCCTTTACTAGTCTGAATGTTGCAGGAAGGCAGGAAAAGGTCATTTTTACTCACCATGTATATTCTCAAAGCTTACAATAGTACATGGCATATAGTAAATGTTCAATAAATGTTTTCAGAATGAATGAAAAGATCAACTATCTCAACCACCAAGGCATTGACTGGTCCTGCAAGTGTATTTCTCATATATAGGTTTCAAATCTTATGTCCTTCAACTTTATAATACCTATGGCTTTCTCCTTATTACTAAGTAATGCCCAGAATCTCATTATACCTCCCTACTTTATCTCCTTATCTCTTTCTCTACCCATAATTTATCTACATGGTATGATACAATCTTCCTTAAAAGTCATGTTTATCATGTTATGCCCTTATTGACAACCTTCAACAGTTTCTTATTTTCTTACTACTTTAAATACACCATTTGCCTGGATTTAAAGACTCCACCATCTTGCTGTATTCCATCAATGGAATTCTTTTCCATCTTCCATCTTCTATAAATGCCCCACTCCTGAACCATGTTGATATCCCAAAAATATATCACCTGCATCCCAGCAATCAATCCCACAGCCCCTTTTTTCTCCCTCCAACCAAACTGCCCACACTGCACCCCACCCCTTCCAGTCAAGGTTGACTTGCATGCAACCTTGACTAATTTTCCAGCCCATTCCTCTTCCAGTCAGAAATTGCTCTCCCCTCTGTCTGCAAACCTCTGCCTAGCTAGCTCCTACTCCTCATTGAGTTCTCAGTGTAAAAGTCCACTCCTTGGAGTCACTATCCATCTAAAGACATTCTGCTATTATTTACTTTCTAAGGAACACCCTGGCCTTTAACATAATGTGTCCAGTATTTACTTGTTTTTCATTTCTCTTCTCAATGAGACTGTGAGTTCCATGAGTCATGAAACTCCTTTGCCTTGTATTCTTTCTTTCTTTTTTCTTTTTTTTTTGGACAGGTTTTTGTTATAGGGCATGTGCACTCACCAGAAAGACAGAAAGAGATAGACAGAAAGTGAGAAATCACCACCCCAGGAGGGATGGCCACGCTGCAATCCCTTCTCCTCCATTCTTCTCTCAGGATCTTGGGCACGAACGCACACGCACCTGGTGTGAGTTTAAGCCACTGGGTCTGGGACTCAAACTGCGGTTGACTACATGGGAGTCCAGTGACATAGCCATTATTCCAACTGCTGGTCCCTCTGTCTAGTTTCCTAAAATGCCCATAGTACTGGGGTCAGCAGGTAGCATAACGCTTAAGGCACTGAATTGTCACATGGCTGACAGCAGTTTGATTCCTGAGTCCCAGACCTGGTGGCTTGAAAATCATGCTGGGGAACCAACAGATAACGTAATGGTTATATCGCTGGACTCTCACATAGTGGATCACAGTTCAAGTCCTGGACCTGGTGACTTAAAACTCATGCTGGCATGTGTGCATACCAAAATCCTGAAAAGAGAAAAGAGGAGAAGGGATTGTGACGTAGTCATCCCCCATTTCCCACCTCCCCGGGGATGATTTCTCGCTTTCTGTCTCTCTGTCTCTCTCTGTGCCTCTAGTAAGTGAACACGCCCTATAGCAAATCTCTCTAAGTAAATAAGAAAAAAGAAAAGAAAATCACTCCAGGCACATGAAAAATCATGCCAGGCGCTCCCTTCCCAGGAGGAAAATGGAGGAGAAGGGATTACAGGTGGCCATCCCTCCTGGGGGGATAATTTCTTACCTTTTTTCTCACTATTTCTGTCTCTCTTCTTTCTGGCAAGCACACCCACACTATGATGAAAACCTTAAATAAATAAATAAGTAATCCACAGTACTAGGGCCAGGTGGCTGCACAGCAGTAATGTAACTGGACTCACATAGAAAAGGTGCGAGGACTGCCTGAACACCCGGGTGCTTGTGTCCATGTCCATGATCTGGCTGGTCGAGAGTGTGAGGACCCTGTCTCTCTGGCTCTCTGTTGCTCTCTCATTTTTCTCTCATGGAAGAAATGGATAAACAAACTTAAAAGGAAAAAAAAAAAAAAACCTACAGTATCTAGCCCACTGTATGGCCCATAGCATTTATTTAATGAGTATATTTGTTTAACATTATCTATGACAGCAATATGGTCATGCTGCTGTAACCTCCACAATATCTGGCAGGGTGGTTAAAGTCAAATACTCTATACATACTTAGAAGTAAACTTGTCTTTTGCCTTCATTTTCTGTGTCAAAAGTCACAACAGAAGCTCTTTCTGCTTATAGAATTACCAAAAAAAAAAAAAAAATAGGGTGGACCTCAAAGAGGAAGTCTGCCCTTCAGCTTGAACAAGATCATTGCAACATCCAGCTTGATGGTGGCAGTGGCAGTAATCTCTATTTCGTCATTTCTGAAAACTAGGAGTAGCAACAGAAGCAAGCGGAAAGTTGTCGTAGAAAAGCATCTTATGTCAAGACTTTTTCTTAAAAGGTAAATGCATTTACCACATGCTTTTTAACCTAGATGAAATAGGTTCATGTCATTCACCAAAAGAAAATGTCATCTTATTGTTGGTGGCTCTATTCTTTTTTCTTTACTTTTTATTTGGTGGGGGGAGAGATGTACTGAATGAATGCATTAAATTAATGGACTTTTTGATGTGAGTGAGGTTCTCCGGAGCTGGATGAAACATGAAAAAGTATATATAACACTTTCTATTTTATGCTTCTGTCAAATGTTTGGATTATCGTTTTTAGAGAAAAATGTGTTTCCTGCTTTTTTTGGCCTGAATTTGTAAGTAGCTATTTCCCTATGGTATTGTGCAGTGGTTTTGTTTTTCAGGGTGAGGTGGTCTAATTTTGTAAAGGTAACTATGGTAACATTTCTTGGAGATGGCTGTACATTCAGAACCACTGATGCGAAGGCCAGGATTTTACTCTGTAAAGCCTACAGTCCTCTCCTCTTCCACCTCCCCAGTAGTAAGGTCTCATGTCAGTTTATATTCTATTTATTAGAAACACATATTTTAATATTTTTTAAATGTCGTATCAATACTTTATAGTGCTCTGCAAAGAACAACACTGACTTATAAATTAGAAAGGAACCAAAAGTGCAAGGAAAGTTCTTACCACTGCTGATTCTGCTGCAAACTGTGGGCTTCCTACTCTTATGGCTCAGACTTCTAGCCAAATTTTCCTGATGATACCTTCTACTCCTCCTGCATTGCATGATCTAAACACACTTGGTCAGCTGGAATATACTTGATAATATCACTGTTGCTGCTGCTTGCACTGACACATTGCAATGAGGTATCCTTCCCCCTACCACCTCCCATCATTCCTTGAGACTTGGAAATTAACTTCTCAGAGATGAGCAATTAAAACAGAAATAATTGAAGATATTTGTGGTCTATATAAATTATCTTTCAAAAATACAGTAAAAATAGCAGAGCCAAAGTTTTTAATCATGGAATTGACTAAATATGAAAATTATAGCCTTTTTTTAAAAAATCGTTTTATGTACAAAAGAATGTATTTCATTTTATTTATTGACTGATAAGTAAAAGTGGAAACAGTCTACATTGATAAGTAGGGAAGTGGCTAAGCAAGTTTATAGTACACAAATAAAACAGGAAAACCTACCACCACTAAAAATACTAATAAAAGATTTTAGTGGTGTGGGAGAATATGTATGATAAAATGCTGAGCAAAAAAAAAAAAAAAAGTGGATATTACTTCTTACATTAAAAAAATCTAAAAAAAAAACTTAAAAAACTAAAAAAAAAAAAAAAAAAAGGTCTGGCTTAGCGGCACAGTTGTAACATCGCATTCAACCAAGGTTCTTGGAAGCACAGTTGTAACATCGCATTCAACCAAGGTTGAGTCCATTTGGAAGATCACAGATTTAGTTTCCAGTCAACCTTTCCACGCTGGACGTGCGTGCCCCTAACTCTGGCTGGCTGGGAAGGTTGAAGGGGACTATAGCATGGGACCCTGTTAGTGGTGCTTGTTTTTCTCACTCTGTCTGCTTCTCATTCTCATGAAAAAAAAAAAAAACAACTTACCAAAAAATTCGCTTAAAAAAGTGCATTAAAATATGACTAAAATGGAAGACACTAAAATATTGACAATGGGTAGTAAGAAGTTAGTAAGGGTTTTTCTTTTCTACCTTTAGTTACTTTATTCTTTTGGTTAATAAAATGAGTAAACAAAGGAAAATATAGAGCCAGCTCCCATGGCTTAGTAACTCACAGAGCTGGTTTATACCTGGCTAACTGCACAGTTCAATTTCTGACCCTGGCAGCTTGAAAAACACACAGATGTGTGTGCATGTCTGCCCCAAATCCCAAGAAGATGGAGAAGAGACTGCAATATGACCACACCTCACTGGGAGGTGCTTTCTCTCAACCCCTCTCTGATTCTCTCTGGTGGGTGTGAGCACCTTCTGGCAATAAATTTAAAAAAAATTAATATAAAGAAAAAGATAAGAGGCTTATTCTAACAAATAAAACCATATTGACATACTTAAAAAACAAAACAAAACAATATACAGGGACCAGCTGGTGGCATGGAAGTTGCAGCAGCTGAATCCCACATGTCTGATGGCACGGTTCGAGTCCTGGACCTGCAGCTTGGAGGGCATGCTAGGTGCATGTGCATGTGTTCCCAAAATCCTGAGAGGAGAATGGAGGAGAGGAGGATTGTGGTATGGTCATCTCCCCAGAAGGTGATTTTTCATTCTCTCTCTTCTTTCTCATTCTCTCTCTTCTTTCTCTCTCTCTCTCTGTCTCTCTCTGGAAAGGGCACATGCCCTATGACAAAAACAACAACCAAAAAACTGGGGGAAAATAGATATTACATAGGGAGACCTCCGAGAGGAAGTTTGTCAGTGTTTAACTAGCACTGCCAGGGAAATGAGGCGGCTGTGTCAGACCTGGGTGGCATTCAGTATTAAACCCATCCTTCCATTTCTCATACTTATTTTGATTCAACACTTGCTGAGCAAAATTGTGGTTTTGACTGCTATTCTTATGCTTTCTGATAGGTAGAATACTCTAGTACATCAAAATGTTTCTTATATCATTCTAGTTTATACGTAAGTCTTCTGTGAGCTGGTTGGTGGGGGTCATTTCTGGAGCAATAGGTCAATTCTTGGTGCCCTTATAAGATCATATTTGTGAACCTGCAAAGCTGAGGACTGTCTGGTGAGCCGCAAGAACCACACCAGGTAGTCTCTGACCAGTGCCATCACTAGAACACCCACGCCGTTCCTTTCTCTGTTACTACTCTTAAAAGCACAGTCTGAGTCAGCCCCTCAGCTGTCTCCTCTTTTCGAGCTTTCTAAGAGGCACCTTTTTTATTTTCAGGAGAAGACAGCATGGGAATAGGCAACTCCACACCTGAACCCAGCCTTGGTGAGTTAGATCAGGAACCAATACCTGTCTACCTTCGAGTTAAAATGAACGGGGAGAACTAGAAAGTGTGCTGAAGGGCCGTAACGGGACAACACTGGCTGGTGCATTTCTAAAGTTGGAAGAATTAAACTTTACCACAATGCAAAATCTGATGACAAGAGAAATGAAAGAGGGAGCCGAATAAAATTACCTGACCCCTCGCATCTGAGTAAGGATCAGATTCTGTGCTCCATATTAGACCAGCTGGGTGGTTTAATGTAAATCTAGTTCACGTCCCTTCCTGCTGCCCTGGGTGTGGGGTAGGTACTGGGAGACCTCCTGTGATGTTTCAGGTGGGCACTGTTCATAGTGTGCTGCAAAACACAAGCAAGCAAACAAACAAAAGGCAGCAGTTTTCAAGGTCAGATTCCTAAAGACTTTGGAAAGCACTGGCTGTGGGTCTCACTTGTGATTCTCTGCTCACTAACCTGGAGAGTCTCCGTTTAAGTCAGACTGAAATCTTTGAAGGAGACATGTGAGATATCTTCGTCGAAGGGACATATAGAGGCTGGAAAACATTATATATTTTCATTCGTGTAGCTGATTGTTTTTTACGTTTCAGTTCTAAAAAAAAAAACATATTCCTCTTTCGTTGGGGTAGTGTCTTTAAAGTTTCAGTTCTGAAAGAGACAACGTTTTCCCCTTTTGTAGTGTTACAGCCCTGTCATTAGTTCCATTGGTTGCTTGGGGAGAGTGGGGCACCTGGGAACGCTTAAACTGGAAGGATTGAATGAGAAGTGGTAGACACACTAATCCCTTTCATGTTCTCTCCTAGACAGCCAAGTCATCCACTCCGCGACAGCCCCAACGACTAGCTCTGCACCCTGTCCCTCTAACCACCCCACGTAAATGAGCATTCTCCCATCTGTCATCCTGTACCATGTGGCATTTGATTTTGTGCTAACAGCTTTGGCAGGGGCGGGGGCGGGGACAGGGGGCAGGGTGGGAATGGGAGTGGGGTGGGGTATAGATTGGAAACAGTAGAACTAAATCAGATTTTGACTTTAGGAGTACAGTTCTTCACTTGGTGTTCCCCAAGCTTCAGGAGATCCATAAATCCACTAAGCTTGTAGTCAAAATTTGCTGGGTGGGAACCTACGAATATTGTGTGAAGAGAGCAGGGGAAGGGGATTTGGGACTGGTAGGGAGAGAGTCCACAGCTTTCATTGAATCCTCACATGAATTTAAAAACTGAAAGCAAGAAAGTCAAAATCTAGTGGATGAGAGTGAAAGCCCACTACCCAATGTGAAGCTATTGCCAGAATTCACCCATAGGGAGGAAGGACTACACACTGGCCGTTAGGAAAGATTTTTCAAAAAGTCCAGCAGTTTAGGCCAGCAGGGGATGTGGGGGGTTGGATTCCACATAGCCAGCTCTGCAGTTCGAGTCTCAGGTCCAGTGGCTTGAAAATCATGCCAGGGGCGTGCTGCTGGGCTTGTGAGCATGTGCCCCAAATCCTGAAAGAATAGAAGAGAAGGAATTGTGTGGCCATCCCCCTTGGGGGATGATTTCTCACTTTCCCTCTCCCTCTCTGTATCTGTCTCTCTCTTTGATGAGTGCATGTTCCCTAGGACAAATGCTTAAAAAAAACCTAACCAAACAAAACAAACAAAAAAACCAGCAGTTCATCTGCTCTCTTTTTCCGAGACAGACAAGAACATTTCATCTTGGCCTTTTTTGCTGGGGTTCTAATGACACTGCTGCTGGTGGCCCTTGTTGTCCTCATCATAAAGAGCTACAAAAAATGTAAGTGATCTCTCAGGAATGGGGCAGCCCCTCCTTTCTTTGCCCTTGAGAATAGAGTGAGCTCTGAGTAATGGGAGAAGTTAGTGTGTCTGTGTGTTGTGGGGGGAAGTGTAATAAAACCTGCTTGTCCCATCCTCTCCACAGACTAAGGACCCAAATCCCTTCACTTTTTTTTCCTCTCTGTCCTCCCCATCTTCTAACACCTCTTCCAGACCCCACCCCTTCATCCAAGATTGAAAGGATAGGCTTCTCATTCCTGAAGGCCCCAATGGTGAGGCTTGTCTCTTCTTTTTCCTGTTGCAGGTCATTCCACTCCCCAGGCCTCAGATCCTCACTCAGACCCTCCAGCCAAGGTAAGATGACCATGCTGTTTCCAAGATACCAAGGACAGCTGCCATTGGAATTTTCCTCTGTTCTCTGTGTTACTGAATTATTAGGTTGCTAGGAAAGTCATGATGTATTTTTCTATGCAAAAATGAGTCATGACTTTCCTGACAACCCAATATAAAGAATTGTGCTATTGCTTTCTGAACACTGGGAAAGTGGTTCTTTGAAGAGTTCTGATCTCTTTGGATCTCCTCTGAGCAAAACTTTCAGGGTGCTTCTAAAGAGATACCTTTTGGGGTCAGCAGGTGGTATAGTGGTTAAGGTGTTGGACTCCCACATGAGTGGGAGTTGGGTTCAACTTGAGTTCCAGACCTGGTGACTTGAAAATTATGCTGGGCACATGTATATGTGTGCACAAAATCTGAGAGGAGAGTGAAACTCATTCATTCCTTTTTCTCCCTCTGCAGATTTCACCCATCCCAGAGGAGTCACTTACCTATGCCAGCATGATTTTCAAAACCACGGAAGAAAACAGTCACTTGACTAAGAGCCAATCTGCAGACATGGACCCTGTTGTCTATGCTCCAATTAAACTGGCACACTCTCCTTGCCTTTCCAGTGAGGCTTGAGCCCAGTCCCTCTCATCTCAGCTCTGCCTTTGTGCATTACATTCCCCTTTTCACAAATTTTGGAGCACAGCCTGTATGAAACTGTCATTGGGACTGTTTAGGTACGATCTGGCAATGCTCCCCAGTTTTAAAGACCAGTGGTCAGTGTTTTTTCTAGCCAGAGAAGAGATTACTGATCTTTCACTTGAACTGACAGCTTGTTAGCTACTCAAGGGCTGAAACTGCCTTCCTTGGTCCTTCCAAAGCTCATGGAACAGAGTTAGGTACACAGAGTTATTCACCCAGCATCATTAATCAATTTGGGAGGAGTCAACTAAATAAACAATTTATCAAGAATGTCAAATGAAGGACCCCGTAGTGGTGCAATTGGACCCACATAGGAAGGACCCTGAGTTGGGTCCTAAGGTCTCACTGGACACACCAGGCATGCTCATGCACGCTCATGATCCAGGAAAGGCTGAATCTGGTGGTGGATTATGGCATGAGGATTCTGTTGGAAGTGCCTATCTCTCTGTCTCATGAAATACATAAACAACAACAAAAAAGGATTTCAAATAAAGGCAAACACTCCAAGAATGGTATCTCATTCTTCATCATTTGTCTGTCCCCATCACCTTCTGCAAAGATCAGAACCTAAAGTCTAGAGCTCATCCATAATTGCCCCCCCCCCAATAAAACCTACTAAAGGTGATGGTACTCTGGAACAAGGTCAAGACTGATGGGGATGCAGGTCTCAAACTCTGCCACCAACCAGCTGTATTCATTTGAGCAAGTTTGTTAAACTTTTAAGCCTCAAGTACATCATCTTGAAAACAGAGATTAAAACACCTACTTCTTAGAGTTAGTGTGAGGATTAAATGAAATATCATATACATAAGCACTTGAAACCTACCATAGTTCTACACAAACACTGCACAAAGTCCCTCCTTTATAAGGCACTATTCAAATGTGGATTTTTATCTCCTTGCTATAGCATAACAGATATGCATAACAACCTCATATGGGAGGCAAAGATAAAGATAATCTAAACACTAATCCCCTCAAAATAATCACATACACAATTCCCCTGAAAATACGAGTGAGATTATTTTTCTACCAGGTGAGTTTACTCTAAAGTTTCTGTGCAAATAATAAACAAAAAGAGCAAAGTCAGAAAAATTCATTACAAAAAATAAATAAAAATAATATAGAAAAATTAGCCCTAAATGTACCTGTTTTATGAAGCATATCTAATTAAAGCAATATGTCAATAATACATGAGTACATAAATCAACGGAACTGAATAAAAAGACCAAAGAAATGTATGTGATGAAGATGGGATAACAAATAACTTGGGGGAAATTGCTTTATTCGATAAATGCTATTTAAGTAATGAGGAGGTCATACAGATAAAAATAAAATAAGAGTATATCTTAACTCTTTATATCAAAATAAGTTCCAGACATGTCAAAAATTTAACTGTAGAAAAAAAGCATAAGGGGCCCAGCAGGTGGCATGGACCTTAAGGTGTTAACCTCACATAGCTGACTTCACAGTTTGAGTCCTGGATCTGGTGACTTGAAAATCACACCAGACACCCCCACAATTTTGAGAGGAGACTGGAGGAAAGGGGATTGTGGCATGACCATCCCTCCTGGGGGTGGGGGGATGATTTCTCACTTTCCTTCTCTGGCAAGAGCTTGTGCCCTAAAGCAAAAACTAAAAAAAAAAAAAAAATAAGCAAAAACCATATGGGTCAGCAGGTGGCATAGTGGTTGGGAACCTTGGTCTTCCACATGACTCACCAGGGTTCAAGTCGCAGACTTGGAGACTTGAAACTGAGTATGTGGGCGTGCATGCCCAAAATCCCAAGAGAAGAATTGAGGAGAAGGGATTGCAGTGTGATCTTCCCCCAGGGGGTGATTTCTCACTTTATCTCTCTCTGTCTCTCTCTGACAAGTGCACATGCCCTTTCCAAAAACAAAAACAAACTCTCTTTGAAGGAAAAAAGTTTTTATTTCTTTCATGACTGAGAGAGACAGAGACAGAGGGACCATATCCCCAAAAGGGTCTTAACGCCATGATCCAGTCAACTTCAGGCAGCCCAGACCACGGGCAGGCGCGTATTAGTGCACTCAGAGAGGTCTCCAGAGGCAAACTCAGAACCATCTGTGTGGGGCAGCCTCACAGAGCTTCACATTTACCACTGTGCCACTGTACAGCCCCAACATTTTCAGTTCTAAGAGTTTCTAAGTGATCCTATCTCTAAGAATGTATCCTACTTAAATACATGGAAAGGTACCTCTGTAACTTTAATTGCAGCATTAATCAAATTGGCTAAAACTTGCTGAGGCTTATTGTACTCTAAGCACTGTCCTGAGTGCTCAGCATGTGTTCGTAGAAGCCTCACAGACCACTATGGGGTTACAGTTCATAATTCTTATTTTAGATACAGAAATGGAGGCACAGAGAGGTTAAGTATCTTGCCCAAGTTCACACTGTTGGTGAGCGGTGACTCAACCCTAGGTAGGCTAGCTCCTATTTGCACACTCATTCATCACACTCAATTCTCTCAAAAGACTTTCTCAAACAGATAAATTCTTTGTGTCTATTGAGAAAGTTAATGAGGGTAACAAGGCAGACATCAAAAAGAATAAGGAAGTTCTACATGCTCTAATTAAAAAAGAGCTTTGAAATATATTTCTAAATGAAAACCACAAGCTGCTGACCAGAATTCTGAATATGCTGTTTTCATGTACAATAATGAATATGTATGTATGTAAGCATATGTGTGTGTTCATATACATATTTAGTATATCTATTAAAGAAAACACAATCAACTAAACTTAGTGATTATCCCTAAAGAGGGGCACTTGCTACTTGAGGCCTGGGAATCAGGGACTAGAAAGAGGTATGCCTGTCCTTAAAGCCTTTGCGTGACTTTGAAGTCCTTCACTTATCATGTTGAGGATTTTCAGGTGATCTGATACCTAGAGTGCCCACTCCCCAATCCTCAACCAACTGCTAAGGAAGAGGTCTCAGTAAACAAGAATCAAAATATCATCTTTACTGTAGATATAGTTAACACTGGAGAAGAAAGCTTGTACTGGAACTGCAGAGGAGTGGACTTCAGAACACTGAACTCCACGACTGACACAGCTGGACCAGAGAAGTCCCCTCCCCACCCCACCACCAATTCTGTGGCTCAGTCTACTCCTAAGGAGCTGCAGAAAAGGTCATGGGCTCTTTGAAAGCTGAAACCAAAAGGGTAAAAACAGAAGAGGAAGGGCAAAGTATATATGCCCGGTTTCCACTCTGTCTTCCATGTCAGACACATCCTTGTACTATGGGAATCCCTAAGGAATGTTACCTCAATGGAGCTCAATCTACAGTGACATAGCCATCACAAATCTTGTTTAAAAATTCACTAAATAAAGGTTGTAAAAGACAAGGTTAAAAAAAAAAAAGTTCATTAGGTGAAATAATTTATCATCTCACCCAGTTAGTAAGTGGCAGAACTAAAATTTAAATGAAGTCCTCTGACTTTAAATGCCTTGCATCTTGCTTCCACACCTGCCTCATAGCACTTACAGTGGCAGGAGGCCAGAAAAGCAACGTCAGATGACATGTTGGAGCAAGTATGCTCCTTCTGAGATAGAGCAGCTGCTCCTGGCAGCAGACTTGTGAGGGAGAAGCCAGTGGAAGAGGGTTTGATGAAGGAGCAGACTCTCTGTGGGAGCATGCAGGCTTTAGGAAATAGTCCCGGGAAGAGGCCACAGCACAAGTGTAGCAGCCAGCCCCATGAGGGCAGCAGAGATCCAGGAATGGTCTTTTTCCGTAGGCTGACAGAGGAAGCACGTCCTGGTAGCTTGTCAAGCTTTCTGTTCTCATCTCTGTTCAGATTATTAATCAGTGTGAGCCAAATACTATGATTATGGTCTCTGGGAAGATGGTGACAAAGGTCAAACAATGAGATCAAACAATTCTGCTAACCCCAAAGCTAGAAGCCACATGAGTTTGCCAGTTCAGAGCCTTTTGAGAGTCACTGCTGAGTAGGAGTAAGCATCAGCCCACAGCCTTCCCCAGGTAGGTGAAATAGCAAAATAACCACACTTCCCTGTTTTCCTGAAGTTTCCCATTTTTAATGGTACAGCTCTAAACAAAGTCCTGGTTTTGTCTTCCTACCACAAGAGTTGATGTGTAACCGGCCTTGTTGAAGGATAATGAGCAATTAAATAATTGACCACAGACTCAAAAGGTCTTGTTTGGTAAGGGGTAGGGAGGAGGGGTCTTGAATCCTGGATCATGGAGTCACAACAAGCCTGTGGGATTCTCAGGATAAACAGTTCTCCAACAGCATAAGTGTAAATATCCCAAGATATAGGTAGATGTGTTCATCTGTCATGGACACTCTATGTCTGCTTTATATAATAGGGTGTCCTGAGTGTGCCTAAACTGAGCTGCTATTTGCAGAACCAGAGGATTAGTACCCACTCATGTAAGTTCAATACACAGCCACAGGAGAGAGATTGGGGTGTCTTTACAGCTCAAGGAAAAGAGAGCACATCTGATGGTGTTTGATCTGAGAGTCTAGCAGGGAGCGGGTTGATATGGAAATGCCAAGGTATCCACACCTTCATCTCTTCCCAGCAGGCTGCTGAGTAGCTTTGAGTTCCCTGTCTATGGAGGGAGGAGTCAGAGTGGAAGCTGAAGGAGCAGTGTTCATGAAAGACTGTGAGAGTCTGACTCTAAACGTGCAGGACACGTGCCAAATCACACCAACAGCCCATCCTCCTGTTCCAACCCTGCTCCAACCAGAGGTTGGATACATGAGAATCCTGAGGACTGCAGCTGGCCAGCCCTTCTCCACCCACTACTCTCCATTAGAAGCGACTGCAAAGGCGGAAATGGGAAAGCCCTGGGAACTCCCAGAAATAGCAGGAGTGACACTGTGTGGGAAGGGACAGTGCCAGCTCCAAAGGCTGGAGCTACAGGTGTTGGTGCTACTGACATTAATGATGATATAACATCACTTTGCACCCTCAGATGCTAATGCCTCGGTCTTGATTTGTATTTCCTGATCTGAATGAATATTTCACTTTATCACACCTTGGGTTCTCATTGATCAAAAGTGGCGTTCGTTCGGTCTGAGTCTCAGTGGTAGTTTCCCGTGGGGGATGTGATTAATGGCCCACAGTCTTTCACCAAGAACTCGGAGAACCACTGTCGGTCTCCCTTTCTTCTTTGGATAAAACAGAATTTAATATCAATTCAGAAATGAGTTAGATTTTTATGTTGCTTAAGGAACTTTTTCAGAAACACTTTCCCAGTGATAGCCTGGAAGAAGGTAGTCATATCTTGGAGTTCACTCAACATCGGTCAGGAATTTATTGGCTAACAAATAAAATACATGTGATTCCTGCCCCCAAACCCAGATTCTGCACTTCTTCACTCTGGCTAACTGAACATATGAGAACTAAGAGCTTGAGATGTTATCTGATTGCAGCCTTGCTAGGATGTGGTCTATCAGAGCTCCTGTAACTACCCCTGCCATAACCGAGCAACAAATGACTGCTGGTAAGGTGAGTGTGTCCTTCAGAATGTCTGGGAGATCAGAACCAATGCAGAATCAGTCCTCGAGATACGGGCCAGTTGACATGGTGGTTCTAATGTAGCATCACTTTATTAACTAAATCTTCAGTCACATCTGTTCAGTACAAGCCATTTCCTTTGGAGTCAGGACACGTGAGAAGGGCTTCAAAGAGTCGCCTACTTTGTTGGGGAACAAAAAAGGAAAATTGAAATAAGACCTACTGCCTAACTATAATGACTGTTTCTATGGCAAAGTTGCAAATTCTCCCATGGGGGCTTCATGAGGCCTACACGTCAATACTTATTTGGGGGGATAAAGTTAGATGTCATTACTGCAAAGATGATTGGTCAGTCAACAGGGAAGCATGGTATGTGGGCCTGTGTGCCCCTATCACCAAGCTTTGGTAATATAAATACAACTGGGGACCCGCAGATGGCGTAATGGCTATGTCGCTGGACTCCCATCTAATCAACTGCAGTTCAAGTCCCAGACCCGGTGGCTTAAACTCACGCTGGGTGTGTGTGCATGCGTGCCCAAGATCCCAAGAGGAGAATGGAGGAGAAGGGATTGCGACATGGCCACCCCCCTGAGAGGTGATTTCTCACTTTCTGTCTCTCTGTCTCTCTGGCAAGCACACACGCCCTATAGCAAAAACCTCTCCAATATAAATACAACTGGACTTCTTCAGAACCTAAGACTGTCAAAGCTAAAATGGACTTTGGTTCAGGCTGTCATGTTTTAATTGCCTGCGTTTGAGAAAACGGGCCTTGGCTAAAACAGGCCATATGATACCCTACTGAAAAGTGTGGGGCCAGAAGGTTACATTGCTGGACTCCCACATGGTCAATGGCAATTCAACCCAGTGGCTTGAAACTCACATTGGGCATGTGTATGTGCATACCCAAGATACCGGGAAGAGAATGGAGGAGAAGGGACTGTGGTGTGGCCATCCCTGCTAGGGGGTGATTTCTCACTTTTCCTTTCACTGTCTCTGTCTCTCTGTGGTGAGCGTATGTGCCCTAAAGCAAAAACCTCTAAAAAAAAAAAAGCGAGGGTTTTACTGCCTCCTTTTTCATGGCACCATGTGTCTCTTCTTTAGAGTATTTACTCTAGCTGACAATTTTACATTTGTGCGTGTGTATGTGATAGTTGAGCTTTCCCTCATTCCTCATTTTAAGCTCCAAGAAGACAGATGCTATTTCTTTTGCTCATCTTTGTATCATTAGCATCTAGCTAGCATGATCCTTATTGTTAAGTGAATAGAAAGTACTGGGAGTATAGAAATGGGATCCTCAATTTATACAAAAATAAACAGGCCCAGAAAAGTGAAAAGTTATCTAAGATCATGCCTTAATAAAGATCATGCCAGAATGGCTTTAGCAAAAATCTAGACCACAATTGTGCCCCAAAGGGATTGGCCTTAGGCAAACCTGAGAAAGGCGCCTTCTATACCCCTCAACTCCGTTATCAACAGAGATCCTAGAGGACAAAGGTCAGGAATGCTGTGGGGGCCACTGCTTTGTTTTCTTAGGGCTCCTGTTCTGGTCACCAGGCCAAAATACCTCAAAGAAAGTATGAGACCTCACAGCTTTAAATTTAGATTTCAGATTCTCCTGGTACGGATCCTGTGTGTCACTACAGGTGTTTCTAGAGTTTTGTTTCTGCTTTTTTTCTCTGAAATGTTATATTTTTATACTTCCATACCTAGAGGAGGTTGGAGTCTATTTTATATTTATGCCTACAGTGTCTTCATTGCCCAAGTTGTTTCTGTGGCTTCTAAGCATAAAAAGATAAAAAGAAAGAAAGAAAACCCCCAAACCAGAAAACTCTTGGCCAAAGAGCAGTGCTTGTGTCTGATGTTCTTCTGCTCTGCATGCACTTCAGAAGTTATAAGAATTGCTGCAAGGTGGCTTAGTGGACTTTCTGGACAGTAAGGCATGTCATCTGTCTCTCTCCTGATGCTGCCCCAAAGGGAAAGGTGGACAAGTCCCCTACTCCCTTTTCCATTTGGGGATGGGAAGACCTAAGAGTCAGACTACTTTGGGTCACAGAGCTCAGGACAGAAGAATCATGATGAGAACTTACCAAGGATGTAGGGATCCCAGAAGAGGCTTGGCTGTTTTTCAAGCTTCTAGTCATACCTTTACCTGTACTCACCCAAAGGTAAAAAGGAGACACAAAGCTAGAGGGCCATTTTCTTGGCTCAAGACAAGAAATCCCTGAGCCTGTCCTGTTCTACCGTGACCCTTCTCAAGAAGACCTTCCTATACCTTACCCAGGAGTCCCCTAAGCTCCTTTTCACAGAGCCTTGGCTCCTGGTCCCTCTTGATAAACAAAAAGTTTGGACCCAGAGTAAGGCTGCCAACAAAAGTTAATGTGCTGGAGAGGCAAGTGGCCTTCCAAATATGGAGCTCTTTTTAGTTGTCTCGGGACCTCCTCCTCCCTGGTCTACATACTTATGCACTTGTTTTTGGAGATTTTTTTTTGCTATAGGGCGTGTGCGCTTGCCAGACAGACAGAGAGAGACAGAGAGACAGAAAGCGAGAAATCACCCCCCCAGGGGGGATGGCCATGCCGCAATCCCTTCTCCTCCATTCTCCTCTCAGGATCTTGGGCATGCACGCACATGCGCCCGGCATGAGTTTAAGTCACCGGGTCTGGGACTCCAACTGCGGTCGACTACGTGGGAGTCCAGCAACATAGCCATTACGCTAACTGCTGGTCCCCATACTTATCCACTTAAGAAGGCTACAGTGCTTCCTTTGTCACTTCCTATGAAGCTTTTGTCATCATAAGGCAGATCTTGTCCACAGCCCATGGGGCTGGCTGCATTGGTCTCCAGGTGACCAGCAATAAGAAGAGGAGCACATTCAGTCTTTGAAAGCTTCTCCTTCACCTCTTTCATCTTCCCTAATTCCTGCCTACCCCAAACAGCTACTTACCCCGTCTATTCCTCTGACTTCTCCTCCTTCTGGACAAATGACTGATGATAGAGATGATTCCCAAACCTGTGATCAGCATGCAGATGATGAGGATGGACATCCTAAAAGGAATCACAATAGACCATGTGTCCCTTGGAAGAAACTACCTTGGGTTCTCTGCTCTGAGCCACTTCTCTGGGATCTGTGGCCCCTCCCAACTAGCTTACAGTAGCTCCTGGCTTACAGTATTCCTTTAGTGGGAGCCTGCCTTTTGGACCATACTTGATTCAATCCTGCAGGCACATGACCAGTCTGGGCCAGTGAATCCCTTCCTTAGAAATTAACTGGGAATTGGGAGTAGAGGAACCCATCTAGGCTTAGACTGGCCAGTCTCTTGAATAATGAGAAATAAACTCAGGAATTGCAAATGGATGTCTTATCCTGTGACCAAAAAAGAGAGAGAGAGAGACAGAGAGAAGAGAGAGAGAGAGATAAGGGCACTACAAAGAGAAAGAAGCAAGTGACTAGAAAAAGAGATTAAGTTTCAATGACATTCCTGGCAATTTTTTAAGGTGGCCACATCCCTGCCCCTACATTTGAGACACAGCTCTCTTATAATAAATGCTCCTGTTTAATTAAAATAGCTAGAGGGGATTTTTTTTTTTTCTGCTTAAAACTAACAGTCCTAAACTATTAGGTCATCAAGAAAGTCACGATACATTTTGCCATAGTAAAATATGTTATGACTTTCCTGATGACCTAATATATTCTATTGAAAGAAACCAAGCAGTCTCATTGAAGATATATAGTTCAGGCAGAGGGAGGGGGGGATGGAGAGAGGAGAGAGAAACAATAGAAAGCTGAAAAGTAGGGACAATTAGTCGTGTTGTACTGTTGGTGTCCATCTTTCTTAAGCCAATTTGTCACCTAAGATTATGACTCACCTGGAGCGATCTGCCTTGTGGACAACTTTGGAAGTCCTGCAGCTTCTGTTCTTGTTGCCTGATAGGTCGAAATCAGAGAGGCACGTAAGGATTATGCCCAGGCCCTTCCTTAGCTTTCCAGCTGCTTCTCTGTTTGTCATTCACTCTATCTCCAGAGAGTAAGTTCCTGGTTGACTTCAGGGGACAGTAGAAGCACCACATTTGGTGCCCTGCACAAGGAACAAGACTGAGGGGACAAGGAAGGGCTGAAATCCAGTCCATGCTCTGTTTCTGAGCCATTTACCCTATGATGGGACTCTATACACATGGAAGAAGGGCATCTCTTCCAGATTTGCACAAAAGGCAAGTATGGACTAGCAGTTACAACGTCCCGGGCTGAGGGCCCTCTCTGTGGAAGGAGACACCTGAGGCACCAGATGACCAATCCTTTCCTTAAAGAACTGATCAATAGGTGCCATAAATTCACATCGTGTTTCTGACCATCACAAAAGTCCACTGGGAAAAGTCCCACCGCTGTCACTCACCTCATCTCTTCTTTTAAGATCTGGGACTTGGGGGAAAGTCCCTGTGTTTCATTTAAACAAAAGAGCACATTTAGGTGAGACGTCTCTTATCTGTGCCCAAAACTCAGGTCAAGGTACACTGCTATGCAAAAGGAGAACCATATAACGTAGAAACACTGTGGGCATGAACAATGTCATCACTCTAAGATGCTTGCTAGGCCAATTACTAGTTCGTTCATCAGATGTGAGAAGGACTCTTTCTGGCACCAGAGAAGATCTCCTACAGCTCCTATTAAGCCCTTCTGGTTTGTTTTACTACCAACATTGTGCTCTGGATTGTGATAGGCTTTTTTGCATAGACAATTGCTTTTAGAAATATAAACGATGAGAAATAAAAAGATAGAGGTAATAAAGCTAGTGACTTCCATAAGCCCTCTGCCTGAGAAACAGAGGTTTTCTGATGCAAAAGTAGGTTTTCAGCATTCAATAGATGAGCCTCTGGAGATCCCATGTCTCAGCTTTGCCCAAAAGTCCCAATTGATTGTCTCACGCCACCTCCTTCCTATAGACTCCAATTCTACCCACACCCTCCCAGTGACCTCCTAGTGTGAACTGAGTAAAAAGAGGGTGCTGATCAGTTTGCCATAATATTTATTCCTATTAATTATTAAATTATTTCCTTTGACAATTTCCTGGATCACGTTTTGCAGCCTCAGTTACCTCTCAAGAAATTCATCTTCACAATTCCAGACCTGCAAAGCTGGCCATGGCACGAAGATTTAATAACAGGGAACCAGCAGTTAGCATAATGGCTATTTTGCTGGACTCCCACGTAGTCGACCGCGGTTCGTGTCCCGGACCCGGTGGCTTAAAACTCACACAGGGTGCGTGTGCGTGCATGCCGAAGATCCCGAGAGGAGAATGGAGGAGAAGGGATTGCGGTGTGACCATCCCCCCTGGGGGGTGATTTCTCGCTTTCTGTCTCTTTTGTGTGGGGACCACCCTTCTCTAAAAAAAAAAAAAAAAAAAAAAACCCTTCCAAAAAAAAAAAAAAAAAAAGAAGAAAGATTTAATAACAGCCTCAAAGCCTTTCCCAATTACCAACACAAAGACCTCACACTTAAACCAGCCTCCATGGCATAGTTGGTAGCATACAGAAATGTAGTGCTGGAAGCCACATAGACGCCACAGGTTGGGATCCAAGTAGACCTAAAAATACACTGGGTGCACACATGCCCAAGATCCTGAAGGGCTAGAGAAAGGGGATCATGGTGCGAGGAGACCCTGTTAAGTGTGATCCCTGACCTCTCATATGCACATGCATGCACTGTTTTTTTCAGGAGTAAGATAAATTAACTAAAAAAAATAAAATAAGAAAGATCTCACACCTGTTGACTGCCTCGGCCTCTTCTGAGGTCCATGAGACTGATTGCTGTGAAGTAAAGAAAATTCTGGGAGGGCCCCAGAGCCCGGGCACCTTCCTCATGCCCAAACCCTAGTAAATCCCCAGCACCATCAATGATGCCCTACCTTGGAGAACCTGCGAGACAGCTGAGTCGATGCTCCCTGGCTTCTGAGTACTTACTACACCAGCAAACACTCAAGGATGTTGGTTGAGTTTCCCCCATACACTAATAGGCTCCTCACCTTTCCCAGACCAAAAATTATCAGTGAAGTCTCCTCTTTTGTCAGTCACAATCAGTTCTGTAAAGTCCATGTGATCCCTGGCAAAGTCTCGCTGGATGCCACACCAGTACCAGCCCGTGTCCTCCTTGGTCAGGCAGGACATAGTGACAATGAGTTGGTTTCCTGTGTCCCTCATGGTCACACGCTCAGTACTGTTGGGGGTGAAGGCAATGATGTTGCAGTAGTCCCGGAAATAGCCTCGGCACCAGTATTTGGGGTGATCTTTATAGTAGGCGTCATACTTGCAGATGGCAGAAGCTGAGTCCAGCACAAAGCCTTCCTTGACCTTTTCATCCATGACCATGGCATCTGTGAACACACACACGTGCACACCGTTGTTCTGTCAAGCATATCACAGCTCCTGCCCTCCTACAGAGTAATCGAAGAATTGAAGGCTAATGTTTACCCATTTTGGGTTGATGACTGTTATTGACTGAACTGTGAGTGCCCCCCTCAAAAATTCACATACTGCCTTTTGGCTCTCTGAGTAGTACCATGGCGGTTGGCAAGAATAAGCGCCTTATGAAAGGTGGCAAAAAGGGAGCCAAGAAGAAAGTGGCTGATCCATTTTCTAAAAAAGACCAGTATGATGTGAAAGCACCTGCTATGTTCAACATAAGAAATACTGGGAAGACACTGGTTACCAGGACTCAAGGAACCAAAATTGCATCTGACAGCCTTAAGGGCCATGTGTTTGAAGTGAACCTTGCAGATCTGCAGAATGACGAAGTTGCATTTAGGAAATTCAAGCTAATTACTGAGGACGTTTAGGGCAAAAACTGCCTGACTAACTTCCATGGCATGGATCTCACCCATGGCAAAATGTGTTCCATGGTCAAAAAATGGCAGACCATGATTGAAGCTCATGTCGATGTCAAGACTACCGATGGTTATTTGCTTCATCTCTTCTGCGTTGTTACTAAAAAATGCAACAATCAGATATGGAAGACCTCTTGTGCCCAGCATCAGCAAGTCTGTCAAATCCAGAAGAAGATAATGGAAATCATGACCCGGGAGGTTCAGGCAAATGACTTGAAAGAAGTGGTCACTAAACTGATTCCAGACAGCATCGGAAAAGACATAGAAAAGGCCTGCCAGTCCATCTACTCTCTCCACCATGTCTCTTCATCAGAAAAGCCAAAATGCTGAGGAAGCCCAAGTTTGAATTGGGAAAACTCATGGAGCTTCATGATGAAGGTAGTAGCTCTGGAAAAGCTACTGCGGATGAGGCGGGCGCCAGAGTTGAACGAGCTGATGGAGATGAACCACCAGTCCAAGAATCTGTTTAAAGGTCAGACTTTTCATAGTGACAAATAAAAAGTCCTATTTATGACAGTTTCCATCTGAACATTCTTTTTAAATAACCTGACAGCTTGGTGAATCAGATACTCTGATTTGATAATGAAGTTTTTTGACCTGTATGAGTTTTATTAAATAGTTGAAAAGGGGGAAAAAATTAATATACTGTAGTCCTAACTCCCTGTATCTCGGAGTGTGACCATATTTGGTCATAAGGCTTTTAAGTAGGTATGTAGATAAAATAGGGTCATTAGAGTGGGCCCTAACACATTACAACTGGTGCCTCACCCAAAAAAACTAATATGGCAGTCCTAGAGAAATATTTTCCTCCGGCCTATAATTTTGGGTTCCCTGTACCTTCACTGTAAGAATTCAGGAGGTCTTTTACCACTGCTAGGTGGGGAGCCTTGGAGAGCCTGAGGCATACTGTTGGTAGGCCTTCTGTCCCTAGCCCTCCACCCTTCCTCGGCATCCTCAGGGGGGAATAAAAAAGAGAGAGAGAAGGCCTGGAGTCTTCTGTATAAAACTAAAAACAGAAGGAGTAAGGCTCTATCTTTAGGGGATAAGAACCTCATATTTCCTCTGTACCAGACCAGCATAGGCACCCCTACTTTCTCAGGATATTGCAAAATGAGGAAGTCATGCACACCATGTCCAGTTTGGTTGTGGTGGGGAAGATGTCTGACCAAGGAGAAGCAATAGGGGTAGCAGAGCCTGTTCCTTACTCAGCTTCCAAATGTGTTCTGCAGTCCTTGCCAATGCTGCCTCAAAAGTGGCTCACAGCAGGTGGGGCCATCCTACAAAGCAGGCTCACATCCTTGGTATTATTCTGTTTTCCTAACAACCCCACAAGGAAGCGCTGTGATGCTCAGCCGACAGGCACGGGTGCTGACCCACAGGGAGCTGCAGTAACTAAAGGTCATGTGACAAGGATGACAGAGGCAGGCCTAGCCCAGTTTTTCTGAATCTCATCTTTGGGGTCAACCGTGGACAGAAAGCCATGTTCTCATATCTCTGCACAAACATGTTTGAGGGGAGAAAGAAAAGGAGGAAAGGAACTTGAGCAAACACAAAGAAAAAATACAGAGCCCTCATTTTGGTCAAGGTTTTCAAGTTTGCCACACACTTGCTTATCAGAGTTAAGAACAAGAACTTACACGAACATCTCCTTTTGTTTCTCATTTGGCTCCTTAGGGGTTTTGAACTAACATGCACGGACTCAGCCAGCCGTGGTGGCGCACGGGTCATACAACATCCTGAAGTGCTGAAGCCACATCGGAAGGTCTGGGGTTTGTGTCCTGAGGTCTTGCTGCACATGCCAGTGCATGTCTGCTCATGATCCAGGCTTGCTGAGGTTAGGAGTGGATCAATGTGTCAGGGCGCTGCTGGACATGCCTCTCTCTCTCACTCTCTGGGCGTGTGTGTGTGTGTGTGTGTGTGTCTCATGAAGGAAATGAATAAATAAACTTAAAATAAAAAATAAACAGGGACCTAGGTAGGAGAGAAGAAGAAAATACAAGATCTCTGGAAAGCCACAGCTTGGAGTGCTGGAGATGTTGGTCCCCACCTCTTACCTGAAAAGAGAGCCAATAAGAGCAGGATGAAGAACTCCATGTCTGCAAGGAAGGGAAACTTCAACTGGATGATAGGATATAGCCAGGGATCTCAGGAATCCTGGATCTGTTTAAGATAAGCAGATATGTTTAAGTTTAAGATGGGGGACAGTCAGTGAGTCCCAGAAGTACTGCCACGTACAGTTATCCACGTAATGCCCAAAGGTACCCACATCATCAGAGGAATGGTATTTGTGCACATTAACATACTTGTGGGACAAAGAAGAGAAGTCTGGACTTTCTGCAGAGCCTGAAACAACAGTGAAGATACCGTTCCTTCACTGGCTCAAAAGGCTTTGTGCATGCTTAGAAGAGCACAGGCATTCACACACACAAACCATCATGGCACACATTGGTGTGTGCAACTGTGCCCTCTCCTGTTGCCAAGGATCCAGCATCATCATAGGCTGCTTTTCTTGTGTGTCCACCAGTCTCAGAGGCCCTGCTCCTGTACAGTTGAGAGGAATCTCAGTAAGGAAAGTGCTAAGTAACCTGACTCCCAAGTGAACACTGCAGCCTCCCAGAGGGAGTGCGGTTAGGGGGGTGGAGCCTGTCAGCTGTCAGTAGCTTCTGTGCCTGGAATCTGGAGCATGTGAGCAGGCAGAAGTGCGGATGTTTGACTGTCAGCAGCCAGGGCTACACTATCCAGATGCCTTGAAAGCTTTCCTGGGCAGAGTCAGGACAAATTAGGGACACATGTCCATCCTAACAGGACTCATATACCCTGACTGCTAATTTTAAGAGTTTGTTTTATTGAATCACCTCTTTGGTGAATCTGAGCTGGGTGCTACTTATCATAGCCCAGAGCTAGCACTTCCTTCCCTTCAGGAGCAGATGCAGATGATTGCCAGGCTGTGCAATAAATGTCCTTTCCTGAGGAAGGGGAGCCTTTCTCTAAGTCACACTAAGTTACATGGACCAACAGCAAACCTGCAATGTAATAGGTGTTTTACCTACAGTATCTCATCTCCTCATCATACAAAACCTCTATGAGTTCAACAGATAAATCATATTGGAGGAAAAGAGGGAACAGCACAAGAAACTACAGTGGAAATTGCACATGTCTTACAACGTAGCCTCTGAAATAAATCATATTGGGGGAAAAGAGAAGGAAAGGAAATAAGAACCTATAGATTATAAGGGACTTAACAGACACACTGACAAATTGCAATACGTACAGTTTATTTGGATCCTGATTGAGGCCACTCTTTCAGAAAACTTAAATAGTTGATTCTATTAATTAAGAAGTTGTTCATTCTTTTTTTTTTAAAAAAAATGTGATCATGGTATTGTCATAGCTGACCTTCAAGATGGCTTCTGATAGTCATGTCCTTATGCAGTCACCTCCCAAACTGAATCAGGGCTAGTCTGTATGATCAATAAAATATGGCAGAAGTGATGATACGTGACTTCAGAGGCTAGGTTGTAAGACATGTGCAATTTCCACTGTAGTTTCTTGTGCTGTTCCCTCTTTGGGAGATCAGTCACCAAGTTATGAGGTCTCTCAAACAGGCTAAGGAGAGGCCTGTGTGGAAAGAAGCCAACTTGGCAGCATCAAGAGAGAGCCACTGTGGGAGTGAGAGTCAGGCATGTGAAAGCCACCTTAGGAAGGGAGCCACATTAGGAGGGGATCCTCCAACCACAGCTGAGCCTTCAGATGACTGCAGACCCAGCAACCTCATGAGAAACCACAAGCACAAGCCACCTAATAAGATGCTCCTGAACTTCTGACCCATAGAAACCACAAGCTATAAAAAATTATTTTTTGCTTTGTTTTTATTTTCAGACTGTGTGCTCACCAGAGAGAGAGGAGCGGAAGCACCAATGAGGCATAGCTACACCATAATTCCTTCCTTCCTTTCCATTTCTTCATGTTGTTGGGATTTGGGGTATGCATGCACAAGTGCTCATAGGGTTTTTCAAACTACTGAAATAGGGATTCAAACTGTGGTTGGCCATGTGGGATCTGGCTCCCTTAACCACTAGGCTGTGGGACTGGCCTAGGATTATTGTTTTAAGTCTCTAAATTTAGGGGTAATTTTTTAATGCAACAATAAATAATTAATACAGATATTGTGATTTTTTTTATTTGCCAGAGGGCACATGTTTGCTGGACAGAGACAGAGGGAAAATGAGAAAGCACTCCTGCTATCATGGAGAATGGTCATGCCACAATCCCTTCTCCTCCATGTCTCCATCTTGTTGGGATTGGGGAATACACATACATGCACCTGGCATGTTTTTCAAGCTTTCAGAGCCAGGATTCAGACTGCTGTCAGCCATCTGGGATCTGGCTCCCTTAACCACTAGGCTACATGACTGGCCCTGCAGAGTACCTTAGCACCTTAGAGTTCATAAAGAGACTTTATAGATACCAAGTCAACTGAGTGGTTGGGACAAAATGGAGCCCACGTTTCCTTATTCCCATGATGCTCAGCTATAGTATCTAAGGACAAAGTTTCTCTACAAAATGTGCATTTAGTTGTAAAAAGTTGAAAGTACATGTGGACAATGGTCAAACCATATATAAAAATAAAATTCTGATCAGACCTGGAGCAACGTGCATAGGAAAGCAACCATTAAACTGTAATAAAAACTAGCTTTACTCCAGCCTGTCATGAATCAGACTAGTTTTTTTTTAATAAAAAGTTATTTTATTTGACTTTTTAAATTTATTTATTTACTTATTTTTAATTTGACCAGAAAGGGACAGAGCGAGAGAAGCAGGGGGTGGGGGGTGGGGGAGGAGTGAGAAAGCCGCCAGGTCTGGGACTTGAACTGCTGTTGGCTATGTGGGAGTCCAGCCCCTTAACCACCACACCACTTACCAGCCCCATAAATCAGACTTCTAGGAAGCCAATCTGCTATCTCTAGCAATAATCCAGAAAGCCAAATAATGACCTCTATAACAATCAATCAAAACTTTCCAAGATTTGATTAACGAACAGAGGTTCCCTAATTTTTGTCTCCACTTCCAATGTAGATCCAACCAGAGAAAGCCAATTACATACCCCTAACCAGTCCCATAGGATGCCCACTTTTAGTTAGCTCATCTGCGGCTGCCCCACCCACGCCAACAGCTTCCAGTCAGGCACATCTGAAGCCTTCCCTTTTTTCCACTGTTAAGAAAAAAATTAACTGGAAAGTCATTAAGCTGAGGATGGCTCCCATGTCGTCGTCTTCTTCTCCTTCTTCTTCTTCTCCTTCTTCTCCTTCTTCTCCTTCTTCTCCTTCTTCTCCTTCTTCTCCTTCTTCTCCTTCTTCTCCTTCTTCTCCTTCTTCTTCTTCTTCTTCTTCTTCTTCTTCTTCTTCTTCTTCTTCTTCTTCTTCTTCTTCTCTTCTTCTCCTCCTCCTTCCCCTCCTTCTCCTCCTCCTTCTCCTCCTTTTTCTTCTAGTTTTAGTTTCCTATAGGAAATGTGCAAGTGCTAGAGGGACAGAGAAGGACAGGGGTTTGAGGGAGTTTGTAAAAAGTGATAAACCATCCCCCTCATCCAGGAGGGATGGCCATGCTGCAACACCTTCTCCTCCATTCTCCTCTTGGTATTTGGGGCATGCCCGCACAAGTGCCCAGTGTGTTTTTCAAGTCTCCAAGTCTGGAACTTGAACTGTGAACTTGGCCATGTGGGATCTAGACACCTTAATCACCATGCCACCAGGTGGCCTGCCTTAGATTCTTATATAAGCAAACTGAAGCCCAACTCAATGTAAACATGAAACCAACTACAAATACCTTATACAAGTTTCCCCTCTCATCCTTTAAGTGGAGTGCATTCATCAATCACTGAATGCTCAAGTGCACTCTTTACAATTTTACTGTGCCTAGGTTTATCTTTTAACACCACCAAAACTTCCCCACTCCTCTGCCTGCCTTTGAGTCTCTGCCAAAAGACAAGTGATGGTAGTTGATGGCCTTGCTACAGCAAGCTCAAGATACATAACCTTTGCTTTTCTCCTTAAGTTGATCTTCACTTATTTCTAATGACTTATTTAAAAAACTAAGTAAAACCAGGGCCAGCAGGTGGTATGGTGGTTAAGGCTCTGGACTTCCACATGGCCAACTGCAGTTCGAGTACTGGACCTGGTGTCTTGATTTCTCAGTTTTCTCTCTCTCTCTCTCTCTCTGTCTCTCTCTAGTCATTAAAAATAATAATAATAAAATTGAACAAAAAATTATTTTTTAAAAAAATTAAGTAAATAAAGCCAGTACTTAACATCCACCTTTGTTCCAGTTTATTCATATGGAGAAGGAAAAAGAAACCTGGGTTTTGTCTGGATGGCCTTTTTACCTTATCCCTGTAGGATAAAAGCCCACAGTTACCCTTTACTGTTAGCAGAAAGGGAGGAGAGGTCCCTGGGGAGATTCCTGTGAAGTTAATCTCTAAACCTGAAACCAGGGTGATTTTGTCACTTCCAGCCAAGCTCTTTACCAAAATTCTTGGTTTATCCTTTTTAAAGTTCATGCTAGAAGACACTTTTACTCTAAAGGCCTACTCTGGGTTGGCTTATTCGTACCTCGGGGGTTCCCATTTGACAAAAACAAAACGAAACAAAAAACACAACTCCCGGTAAACCATCGGTAGATATGCCATGTGGTGAAAATCAGAAAGAAAGAAGGAAGAGGGAAAGGAAGATGGGAAGGAAAGAAAGGAGGGAGAGTGTGGGGAAGACAGGAAAGGAAAGAGAAAGAAAGGAGAGTGAGAAGGTGAGAAGGAGGAGGAGGAGGAAAAACTGTTCTGAAACTCAGGAGCTACACCTTGTCTAATGACACCACATGACTCAGGACGGACTGCTGTTTTGCCTTGAGGGAAGTGGACATGTTAAGTTTCAAAAACGGACAAGGGCTACGTTGCTATGGCAATTAGGTTAGAAATTGTTTAAGAGGACTGGTGTGAGGATTACCAGTAATCCAAGAAATAAATAAGTAGCCCCCTTAGTTCTCCAACTAGGTGCAAATTGCTCCTGGGGAGAACAGCTCACAGGGCCTTGTCCTGGAGGCATGTGTTTGGTTTTTGTTTTTGTTTTTGTTTTTTAAGAGACATTTTTGCTATAGGGCCCCTGCAGCTGGAC